ACAATACAGCTAGGTTGTTTCTCTAAACGATGATAATATCCTGGTACATAATTTAACATAATGATAATTCGCTTTTTAAAACGATGTAATATTTCATATAATCGAAGCAACTGGAAAGAACGCTGTGAATTTTGTTATACATTATCGGCTTTTATGAGGAGGGTCTCGCGAGGCATTTTTGTTTGACCAGAGGATCGCGTCATTGTTGGTACGCCTATAATCTTTGGATTTATCTAGTATTAGCATATACTCACTAATATCAGCACGACATGGAGCCTTTCAAAAATAATTCTATAGCTAACTTGCTTTAGTTCCAGAAGATGAATTGAATTTAAGACACACTAACTTCAGCACAACGCCCCAATTAAGGATACGATGTGCTCCATTCTGTATTAGGGTCGAAGCGCATACATATGCGAAATCCAGCAGATCTGATCTTTTGCAATAGAAATTTATTTTACATAGAATTTTATCATTTGCAGATTGAATTTGCACCTAGCTTGCGTTACAACAATTGTTTTGTCACAGTTTCTAATAATATACGCTTGATTTTGATTTCGGTAAACTCGAATTTAAAGGAACTTGGCTAAACTTTCCATCGACGCCAGATCAGTGTTGGTATGCACAAATTACTTGGGGCAAGCTCTTTTCAAGGAGTTCGCATAAGGAGAGCTTTCTTTTTTCAGGAATACTGAGCCTCTGCTTCAACGAAGAGCCGCAGCACTTGTGTACAACTTAATCTCACAAGATTGAGCCCTATGCCTTCTGATGTGAGGCCAATGTTTCCTACGACTGAAAACCCGAACTCTGCAAATGTGTATGCTCATTATCACAAAATTCTTCCCTTGTTTAGCTGACGACAGTTTCGAGAGAGGTTGAATACATAACCGCATCTCCATCGCGTAGCGTTTGCTTAGCAAACCAAGGATTATCAGCATTTATAATGGAATAAAAAAATAACGTTGAAAAGTAGCGCTTAAAGCAGCGCGTCGAGCGGCGATGCATTTGGGTTTCCGTAAAACCAGCCACTTGCTACGATTATTTGATATAGTTACTTCTTTCATTTCATAACATTAAACACCTCAATATCACCCCTTAACGCTTATCGGATAGGTGATGAGTCGCTAAATTCCTTACCCTTACGTGTTCGATTGGTGATCAGATAGACATTATGGTTCTGTGTCCCGGCTGCATTGGAACAATAGGTAGCACACAGATCGCTGCTGTGAAACACTTTTGTTTCCTTCAACACAATTAATAAAAAGCACCTAAAAGTTAATTATGCGCATAGTTTAGCTTTTTCAGTAAATTATTATATGAATCGCCGGATGTAGTTCATCGTGCCAAAAGCATTGGTTTTTACGAAGGTCGCATCTGAAGCATTTGCCAGCCAACGTGCCAATATGTGGTTAGAATTATTCAAGAGTTGGTTCCTATCTGGACATAGAAGATATGTAAAAAAAGACCTTAAGAATCAAATCTTTATTTATATGGTCCAACGGAATTTCTGAACTCTATGGTATTGAAAACGCCTTATACACTGCCATTGATAGAACTTATCTTAAAAGGTTCAAATTTAAATAAAATAGGATACAGGCATTGCGATCAGATACAAATATACGAAGAGCCGCAATCCGCGAAAAGGCGTTGTAAGTGAACCCTAGTAAATTGTACGATAGCAGTGGGAAGTTCTTCGCACCCTATGCAGTTACTAATTTCTCTGTTGGTTAAGTTTGTGACTAAAAATACTCGGAATTTCCACAGTGCGCCATGTTTAATTTACAGTCTATTTCCACATCTACAGCTGTAACAAAGACTGCTGAATTGTTTCGACTCCTTGGAAAACTTTGCCGTACGATCCTCCACAGTCGGCGAAGATTCCAACGAAACGTCAACTTCTCATCGAATGTGTGATCAAAGAATATGAAACATCAGAGTAAATTGCTGAACTTCGCAATCCTCTTATACCAGTAAATTCGTGCTAGGCCCATTCTTTCTTCAATTAAACACAAAAACCGTGTGTTTGGCGGTTGCGCACATGTCTACATGCACCTTAATACTCAAGCTAGACAACCTTTCAGCTGATTATATTGGGATGCTTATCCCTACGTTTCTGTTTATTAGCTACCTATTTTAGTTTAGCTTTCATTCTATTATACATTACCTTGGCCTGCGCCCACGATTCACTGCTTGCAGAAAAATTACCGTACCTTAATTTCACTAATTTTTTTAATATCTGATATCACGTGCTGCACTAAACCCGTCAGCCTTTGGCACCGGTGTTTGATGAGACCGTTGTCGTACAGGGAATGGTTTGTGCTGGTTCTGCTGGGTTGATATTTAGTTACGATCCAGTTAGGGGCCAACCCGACTGCATGATCATTACGGCTAACTTCAATATAAAATTGTCCATCGTATCACCCATCGCGGATCCGGATAGTTTCATACAACTGCGAGCTTTTACTCCGGAAGGGCTTACGAATATTTAAGCTGAGCTTAAAAGCGCAAATAAGTACAGAGAAATGAATTACTGCTATCTGTAGTCATATTCTCTATGGGGATAGATTTGAACTGCAAACGTGCTATGCACATGTGAAAAGAGCTTTGTTGGTTGTATAGAAAGCGCAATGGAATTATCGATGCAACGCTTTTTTTCCACCGATAATTCAGGCTCAAAGTGAAATGGGGCGCAGGTCATCTCAAAAAGGTCGTTTTCCGACATTGAATGATCAAGTGGCCAGAGTAACGGTTGATTTTGTCTGATTCTGTTCTAGTATTTATATTTATCTACGCTTCGTCCACATCAGACAGAAGAGAAGGAGTTGAATCGGGGCAGCATGTGAACGTTAGGAAAACGTTAGGCTCCCAGAGCTTGCAGATACTGGAGGTGCTGAAAATACATTTTGGTCTCAAATAAATAGGCTAGTAGACATTGAAGTGAACGTATTTTATCTAGGTAATATTTATTGGACCACAGTGCAATAAACGATGATAGATAACACGGCACGCGACCTTAATTTTTGTAACATTCACGTTTTGGACTAAAGAGGTGGAATACCGCGACATGTTACGGGACGTGAAATATGCTGTGTGTGACAGGAAAATCTTTCTCTTTGAAAGTCGACCTGTTAGCTTCCTTTTCAAAACATCGGACATCGAGATTACTCACGCTCTGAACTCGGCCATACCCCTAAACCGAGAAGGCTTGCGTCTAAAAAATACTGAGTTGGGTAAATCTAAATTAACTACTTTTCTACCCAGTAGCGATAAGTGATAAAAAATAATATAATGCAATCTTGTAGGAGAAAACAAAGAACACGTGCGTACGATCACTTTCAAAGCCATCGCGTTTACCCATTACGTTACACATTTACGTTTAGATCAAGGTTAAAAATTTTACATCTGGTGCTTGGCACATATTTGTGAACGATTATCTCGGTGAGGTTATCGACACAACGTTGATCCGGATGACTTTGGATGTCCTTGCGGTTTAGTTTAACCTATTCGTGGCACGAATGATACGCTTACATGCTCGTAAAGGTTTCGACTGACATTTTTACGTCTTAAGAACTTTTTGTAAAACAAGATGTACAAAAACGTTCAAATTGTGAATACTTATAACCGTGCTTTTTTTTCGCTAGTGTAACAAGGAGGGGAGACTGATGACCGAATCAGACAAATCTTACAATTTTTTAGATTTTTTTAAGCATGCCGAAATAAGTAAACTAAAGAATATAAACAAAAGCCAATTTGTAACAAGGTTGGCCTTCAGCTCTTTTTTTGTTTGGAGAAATTGCACACTTGAAACGGGGGTTTCAGCACATTAAAAAGATTGGCATAGGTACCCTTCAAAAACCATAGGGCAGAATTATACGCCGAACCATTAGGCCCTGACGTAAAGGTAGTTTCGGAACACTGCAAGTTCCGCCTATTTATGAGTCCACCGACACGAGAGTATAGTACCGTTTAGGTGACTACGATCAACAATTTCATTAACATCAGGCCGAGCGAGTCTCGAAACGATCACAGCATCCCAACTGCCGCACATGCTTAGCGACTATATCATATATAAAAGACTCCTGGCGCGCAAAGAGCCTGCTTCACACGTAAGCAGTAATTCTATGTATCGAACTTGTTTGACTTTGCCCCTAAAACCTCCTTGGATATAAGCGCCAAATTCTGGATGAACAAGTGCTGATGCCACTCGGCGTCAGGTTCATGAACTTCACTCTTCCGTCTCTCCGCGAACCTCAAAGAACAAGGCTGCTAGATACTTCGTTGAGGTATAATAATAGATTTTTCGCGTGTTAAAGAAGCTGTTTGTTTGCCGCTTTGCTTGAATATCTCATGCAGGAAGTGTAAATGAATAACTAAATCCATGAAGGATACTATCTGATCCGTGCAATTAAGGAAATCGTTTTCTTCCCATCGGTTCAATTGAATAGAACGAATTTTACATATTTTTTTCAGTTTAATGTGGTAATGCACGCATCTGGAAGTGCTCGAAAGCTTGTTATTGTACTCGTCGAACAGCTCCAGGAGATGGGTTATGTCCTTCCCCATCTTACCATGGCATCATTAAGACGGACCCAAGCTGTTCATTCAGATCCCAAAATAAGCTATTATTTTATGCCGGTTAAAGGAAGCATTTCCATGAATTGGTTTATTGAAAGATTTTCAATTATCTGGTTGTAATAGATTTTCAAGCTGTGTACAAGTTCACAAGTTGAAGCATTTTGCATAAAGTATGATAGCATATATATATAGTAGTTGGCACCTTAACTTCAATGAAATACTGCACTAGTAGTAGTATTCAGTCGTCCTGTAAACAAATAATCTGGGTTAAGCATACTCGAATGATTCAGTCATAATATCAGATATGACAACTGATCTAGGTTCCACTGTAATTGTGCTAGAATTCGTTTCTATTCGTAACATCTATGCGATAACGATAGCCACAAAGAAGCGGCGTGGTGTGGACTGAATCGTCCGGCAGTGATCGAGAGAGATGATGTCAAGTCTATCCAAAAAGGCCCCGGTTGTCCTCATGCCTTAATAGTAGGGTGGCGTTTATTTGAGAAAGAGGTGATACACTTCGGACTATAGGGTTTTTAAATAGGATTAAGAGTGGCAGCATTTGATTCGTATGGTGTCACAAGCTGAAATCGCGCTACCGCTATAGTGTGTTCTGGGTAATTGGTGACTGTTTAGTGGCACGTCATGTCGTCCAATGTTATGTAAACATGCCGTGTTTATTTGGCCAAATACTCAAGTTACGATAATTCGTTATGTGAGCTGACTCAGAAGTTCATATGTCGTTATGTTTCCAACATCCGTATAGCATATCGACTCCATACGATATTTAGCTGTATGGTGTCGACTATCATTCTTTTTTCTTTTTGTTATTATTGTTATTTACCTAACCTTGGCTCAAAAAATTCATGTACTGTTATATTAATGGGCTAGTACTTGTATCATAATATGATAGAAATGGCGCCAGACGATTGCACTGTTATTGAAAGCAATCCTTTTAGAGGCGGAAGTTCCCGTGTCAAAGGATTGAACAGGTAAAAAAAATGGTTTATATATAGAGCATTTCGCATGGATAAATATTTTGTTCTCCTTTGCCACGGCATGCTTCGTCGTGTCAGCCTGACCAGACGTCACGAACGCTCGCGCAGCGTACGACACCGTTTCCATCCAATCTGAAATCATTTTGTTATCCGTTATTGTAAAATGAAGGATGGCCTAAATTTTTTGTTTTATGGCTAAAACGACGAGTTGTCTCTCAGCATCGGATGCCGAGGTGATGAGCATCTTCGCGAAGCAGGGGGCACGTCTCAATCTACATGTCGAAAATGCTAATATTTCTTCTGACTCTCAGGTTAGTAATACTACTTTCTAGCTAGAAATACATATTGTATTATGAAACACTACTAGGAAAAGCTGTCCAACGAGAGATCTCGAATGCACGAGCACTAAACCTGAGCATTTATAATTAGTAAATACATTGAATTCATTCTCGCCTAGAACGGAGCTCCTTTTTAAAATGCAGATGCTGTCAGATTACCCGTCAAGGAGTTGCGCTTCTAAATATTCTTCACGATTCGAAACTTCGTGCACTTTGAAAACTCAGTTTTCTTTAGTTAGCCACCACTGTGTGACCTGAAAGATTATTTTCGGTTTGTCTACCTGGCTAGAACAATTACCTGCTGTATTAGTAGTTTCAGAAACAAAATTAGCCGAACAAACAATGTCGATAGGCTGATAAATGTACCGCGTAAGACCAACATGTTGTTAGAATTGTTACTTAAAAATCGTTTGATCTTTGTTACTTAAGAACTTCGCCGCGAAAGTCAAGAGTTCACTATTGAGCGAGCATTTTTCGTCACTCGATGCCGAAGAAACTTTACACAAGCTTGAAAAATTACGACAGAGGAGTGGGTGAGCGCTTCAGGACCTTCATGCAGAGGCATGCCCATCGATGCCGCGAAAAACCTGGTCTCTACTCACGGCTGTGGATCATACATCTCTTGCTACTTAGGAGGTACGGAAGGGATGATCTTTCATGTTGAAGAAGTGCTTCATCTGTATTTGGCGAAGCCAAAGCTACAGGTATAGTACACTATTCATCAAAGTGCGAATATTCTTTAAATGAATTAATTTAATATATAGAAATTTTAGATCGATTTTCTTCGCGTTAGCGCTCAATAACGATTGTAATTATTGCAGGTCACTTCAGAGTCATGTACGAACAACAAGCGGCGCAGGAAGGACCGAACAAGTTATTATAGAAAAGATCGGAAAGAGACTCGGATCTGTTTACAAGTGTGTCGATAATTTTTGCTTGCCACGTATGTAGCAGAAAAGAGCGTATCTTACCTGGATTGTTTGACAGGTAACACAGTGACTCAATTTAGCCTTGTCCATTGTGCAAAGGTATGCCAAACCGTTTTTTTTGGCTAGAGAAGCATCTTTATCGAACGCCTCTAAATGTTATTACTATATAGCCTGTTGCAAATTTTCTTTGTTACCTAAAATGCTAATTTTTGAAGATTAGGTAGAAGAAAAGGTAAAGATCTTGAAGCCGTTGGTTGCCCATGCTTAGGTGGCCGTCGATGTTCAGGATTGAAGCACTGTAACAGTGAAATGTATACATACATGAGCTTTCTTTCGCCCTATGGACCACCGGTGGCCGTCTGCGACAGGAAGGTCGTTTGCCCAAGGCCGAACTTTTTTTCGGGCAGTTGACGAGGTCTATAAATAATCGCAGGACAAAGACTTGAACATCGTTTTGAGGTTTTGTTGCGTATAGGACCGTATATTTCACGACCAATTGCCAAATAATTTCTTCATATAACAAGTAGCGCAACATGTTATTGTTTATTCACTACATGGCGGTTCGTCGGTATCAACTTCACCCGAAGCAAAAGTTCCATGCACTTATCAGCGTATCACCTAGACCGGTAAGGTACATCTTAAGCCAGATCACTAAGAGAACCCCTAGGTTTGATGTTGAACTTAATAGGGAAGTTCAAGGCGTGTGTCATTGTACCGCCACTTTCGTAGCAGTTCGATCTTTACAACCATTTATGCATTTCTCAGAGTGTTTGTGTGTAATTCATTGATTGTAGCCCCTAACCTGCTTTCGACATACAGGTTAGTAGAATAGAGAACTTGCCCATCATAATTTTAACGAACGTCTTGTAGGTATCGTACGGTGCTAGGACAAGCAGTAATATTTGATAGTTTGCGAAATGGCCGGAGAATCAATACAGGATACGCGTGACCTTTGCCCAGATGGACTTGTAAGTCTATACATTATATATATATATATATACATACACACACACTCATCGCTAAGGGTGTACTGTCTCCAACGGCTTTGGTTGAAAAGGCAAAATCAAGGAGGCGGTGAGGTCAAAAATTTGTGTACCGGCGTTAGCCAAATTATTCCTGACAATTTTATACGGGACAATAAGTAACTTCTTAAAGTCAGGGTTGGCTCTCCAGTCGGTGCTGTGAAGGACATACCGAATATTTTGAGAAATTCGGGTGGGTGGAGGTCTATTTCGACTTGTGAAATATTCTCCTCTTCAGAGCGGCTAGTGACAACGCAATGATACTGTACTATTATGCTGAGATACCAAAATTCACACGGGCATTGTTAGGTACAGGTTTTATAGCTCAATATAACTAAATTATGTAAATATTTGCTGGTGCAATTAAACTCCTGAATTCCCTCTGACCTTGCCAGAGCCTTCATTAGTTTCCCATTGATAGATTTCACATTGACCTGCAGTTTAAACAGAGCAGACAAAAATTAAAGTGAGATATTTTTGTACGCGTTTTTAAAACACTTGCCTATAATATGTGATTCACCTTTTGTTGGATCATAGGAAACTAAAGAGACCAAAGACCAAGCTCCACTGGAATCACTTCAAACATGCGCTATTTTAATGAGGGCACCCCCTCTCTAACGCTCGTCGTGAAGTCAAAATCAAGGAACCGCCCTTGACGAAATAGATGAGAACAAGGTAACTGAAGGCTGCCTTACGGACGAGACACGAATCGATTTCACCATACAGTCGGTTAGTACCTGCCGTTTTGTTTATTACACATTATTCGAATCTCACTAAGTTCTTAATATCTAACTTAGTGAGATTCCAGTACAATAAGGACCAATTTGCTAATAGTTTAGTCTGTCGTGGTTTTAGCTGGGTCCGTACCGTGCACGCAGCTTTAGTACATTCCTAGTACAAGTATTCAGTTTTCAACCCAAACAAGAGCGCTTACATTAAATTTAAAGAGTATTACTTGATATGCCTCATCTAATAAAATTTTAACAAGCCTAAGCGAGTAATCCTGGTCTGACCTTTTCCTTGTAGTATTTTATACTGCGATAGATAAACCCACTGATATAAATTTTTTTTAAGATAGAAAGTCCTCAAGCTTATGTGAGAACTTCCTTCATGACAATGACCTCTTGTTGCAAAGCGAAACAGCTCATTAAATATAGTTAAACGTATTAGAAAATAGAAAAACTACTTACGATGTACTTCTGGGTTCGAAGAATATTGGCGTTCATTGCAAGGCCTAACGAAGATCAAGTTTAGTTACTTCACTGCTAAAATTATCGAGGTTCTAAGTAAAATGTCTAGGTCTATTTTCGGTACTGTTTATGGCATTTGCTAAAATCAGCGGCGAAACTAGCAGTGCTGTTTGATAACGAAATATAAGCCCCACAAGACTATTACAGTTCTTTGCAGGTGCGTAACAACAAAAAGCGGCAAGATTACTAATTTTTATTTTAATTGTATATAAAATGCCTACCCATTCTTTAGGAGATACTAATAGTCTTGCAAGAATTTTTTTATATAAAAGATTTGAAGAAGTTGATCGACGAATCAGGTCAGAGTGAAACTACCAGGCAGCAGGGATCGCGTTGTAAACGGAGGGCAAAATGGTGTAAGTACTGTTTTTTAATAATTCGAATTCTAATTAAAGAAAGAAAAACTGTTGACTCTGCACCGTACGAGCTTGAAATAATCATGAACACTTTGAATTAATCTTAAAATACAAACGTTATTTTTAGTTTATATGCTGTAGGTAATAACTCGCTTCCTAAGTACTGTAGCTGGAAGCACAATGCCAGACCTTAAAAGTCGGTCTTGGAATTACGAGGCTATATACTGCGTGTACTGATGTGTAGTCGGTTTATATAGATCACACTTCCATTCGATGGTAAACTTAGGGCGTGGACGTATAATGAAAGGGTGATTAACAACTGTTGTAAATCCAGTTAAGGTTAGATAGATAGATTTTTGGGGGTCATAATACAACAATACACGTTCTAAATGCTAAAAACAAACAAAAACGGTTGTCAATATATTTGTCATTGTCGCTTGATCAGAGTAAGCTTCACCAAGCTCTGATACACACTGCAATACAACCAAGCTCCGCCGAAGAGCCGTTATGCGAAACCGTCCAAACGATCCCCATAAGAGTCTCATACCCTCAACATGATGCCACAGAATAGTAACACAAGTTAGAAGGATCCTGGGGCTCATTAAAACAGTTATTATGAAAAAAAAAAGCACCTGTGAAATTAGGATTAGCACTGGCACTTTTGGCGTAAAAGTTTAACGCCTATTTGGCTGTACGCCTATTTGGCTATAATTGATTATTGTGGTTACAGGAAAAAAGCTGCAGTTTTCTAATGGAAGTCTTTGAATACGCCACCAATCCACTGCCCGTTCACCACGTATCGCTATACACACAATGACACGTGTATGATCGATTATAATGCTATGAACATACAAAAGGCTTCTAAATTTATTGTCTGCCGCATTTGTCGTTTGTTGTGTCTATCATAACTACGCATTATTAATGATTCAAAAGGTGAGTCTCTCTCTGCCCGAGATGGCCGGCGGACAGAACGGGATCATCATATTCTATGATTACTACGATCGCTCTCGGTTCGATGCTACCTCTTCTGTATCATAACCAAGCTCCAAGGGACAAATGTATTTTTGGCCATACCCGTCAGGTGCTTCGGGCTCATCGTGATTCAACGACGTCATTGGCGTACTAAAGCCCAGATCAGTCTCGACCCCAAGATCTGGCAAGATGAGCCCTAGATCAGAGCAATCGTCGGTCGGCGAACGGCTTCCATTGTCTAGCAACTCAACCGACGTGTCTTCACTGCCATCTCGACCTTCATCGCCGGATAGCTGATGTCGTCGGGTTTTTCGTAACCGCTTCGGTTGTGACGGTTTTGCCGGCGGTGGCGGTTCTTCGCGGGGTTCCGTCGCATTGTCGTCATTGTAGATGCCCATCCCAGACATTTCGTAGCGTTTGACACCTGCCTCATACGGATTATGGCGAGCCTGGCCAGGGCGGCGGCCATGACGCGGCACAGGCCGAATTTCTAGCCGGCCACTTTGTCGCAGCTGATCCAGCAGACGATCGACAGCGGCGCAGCTGCGACGTTCCATCACGAAAAATAGGTGGACGTTACCGTCCAAACTATTAGCTATGAACTAGAGGAATGATCGAAGGGTGATGGAACCTTCTCTGAGCAGCGAATGAGCTGGTCGTTGTGGCTAGCTCGGTGGCACAATTAGCGGATCCTTCCTGGCAACTGATCAAAATATTTCGAAGTAAATGGATTTTATATGGACATAACATGTGCCTGCTTAGAAATGTCAGGCAACGATGGGTTATATCAAGAGTTGTTCACTTATTGGTAGAAAAATTAATAACGTATGGAAACGGTTGCTTTATTCAATGGAATATGGCATTATTGGCCTTTCAAAATGATGCGGGCACAGTAATTATTGTGGTATCCATTAACGAGATAGTGTCGGCTATGACCATCTAATAACGACGTTATTTTTGACACTGTCACAATTACTGGCTGTGTAATGCAGATAAAAACGAAGTTCTGCTTAGCTTGTCTACGTCTTTCTAATGATGCTCACTATATAAATCGTAGGTAGCGATATAATTAAGCAATAATAGTGATGACCAGTTATGATGTGAACAGGACATTTCAGGCTCTATAGGATGAATACTGAGGATAAATTTCAACAATACAGCCATGAATTAAGGCTTCACAGGATAGGCTGCCGCTGTCAGCAGAATGCTGATATGTTAATGCGAGAAAATTTGACGCAAGCGACCAATCGACGTTAACTGAACCACGAGAACCAGTTGGCTATGCGGAATATCTCTCATTATTTGTGGCCTACAGCTTTAGTCTTCGTAAGGGCTGTAGATTAAGATCAAAATATACTCTACTCGTTGCACAGGCAGATTGCACCAAATCACCAAGATTTGGTGGTACTAAACTTGAAATCATTGGCACTATTAGACCATCGCCGCTTATATCCTCGGCATCCTGCGGGCAAACCCTGCGACGAGAGCCCTGAGCTAAAAATGTCTGCCAATTACATTTTGGTGGGAGTCATTTTATCATGATACTGCTGACAATGGTAGCGCTTGATGATGATCTATCGTTCTACCGCGAGGTGGAAAATCCTCGCAGCAATATGTATTTCCTCTTTCAAAT